GTATTGTAAAGTTGTGTGAATTTTTCAATAAATTCTTTTGTCAAAACCACTTGCAATCTGATTCATAGCTGAGCGCCTTGCCGCCGGTTACATAAGGAGTCAATTCTTTAATAAATACTGAAGAAATCCTTCTGTACTTATTACTGATACTTACAAGGATAAGGTGCAGCTGGCATTGATGGCAGTTCAAAGGCATGGATAAAAAGAATTAGATCATTTTTGTGATGCAGATTTTCACAGTAGACTGTGTGGTAAAAGCAACAAAAAATATAGATTAATCAAAATAAAAACAAGCCCTGTCTCTGCATTTGAAATTAGATACAAAAATGCATAATGTATTTTTCACAACTTCTTCCCACAGATAAATGGAGAGAAATTTATGGGAATTGAATGACAATTCAATTAGGTCATGGGGGTGGGGATTTGAGGGGGGAACAATTTTTAAAATCAACTGTAAGCGGGGGTATGTACATTTGTTGCAATTTCAAAATAGTGGCTCTGAAGGAACTTTGTAAGGGGGTCCATATATTTGGGGGGTGGGGGGGGGGGGTAAAATTTGTACAGTTCTTTTTTTCCAGAAAACCACTGCCCCTGCTGGTACATAATAGGGACCTTAAGCTGTAGGACGGCAACGTTGGCGACAACGTTGGCAAAATTGAGGCGCTTCAACCTTCTATTGTATTATTATTTTGTGTTTACCTAGTATTTTACTCAATAAGCATCCCCGTTTTAGAGTGAAATGTTGTCTTTTGGGAGCGCTTTACTTATAAAAAAAATCAGCAAAGATAAGCTTTTGGCGTAGCTGTTCTCTTTAGTACGTAAAAATAGGACATTTCACGTCTTACTTTCAGCATAAGACGGCAATGAGCAATTAGTGCTATTGTATGTTTGCCGTCGTCGTGGTCGTTGCTGTCCTGCAGCTTAAGGTCCCTAATAAACGATCAGTCCCTAAGAAATATCTATAATTGATATCTTTTTATTAGGAAAATTCTTTTTTGTCTTTTATTTATTAACCATAATAGAAAAACAATGTTAACAACATATTATAGTCATATTAATTTTTTTTAGATCAATGTGAAGGCACAAAACCCTTTCCAGCCTCCTTAATAAGATCTAAGTATTCTAGGTAACGCGGCGCGCGTAATTTTACACCCAGCTGCTGCTCCATACCAAGCGCCGACATAATTTGGATAGCATAGTTTGGCATTCAACCATAAAATTTTATGATCCATGTTTGGCGGTCAAGTATTACTACTCAGTAAGACGAACAGTACTGGGTTTCATTTAGGACCAGAACAGAAATTCCAACATTCCAAAAAGACAAATAATGAATACCTTGGATAACCACACAAGCTTACTAAAAAAATTATTTCATGCAAACATCCACCCTCTTACACACGGAATTCAGTTCAGAAAACATTTACAAGCATTAATAAACTCTGACAGAACGTAGTTGGGGATTTGTCAGATAGTGAAACCCACAACATTACTACACATTTTATACTCACATTCAAAAGCCCTTTCACTGTAGTGACTGCCATCAATGGCTATTGCAACCCTTCTTTCAGTCATAGTAAGATATTCTAAGATGAAACGAAGTCAGAAACTTGCAAAAATGAAGTCTGATAGTAGCGTAACCGGAGACAAGTAGTAGGTGCTGGAGACTAAAGGCGACTCGTTTCGACTCGATCGATATCGCGTGACAAGTTGTCACAATGGGGACTTACGGAATTTAACCGACTATTTTCCGACCACTAACGTTGCCGATAGATATCTGTATTCCTTCTCTTTTTGTTGGCATAAGAATCTATATATTGCTAATTTTTAAATTAAAAATTTGGCAGCTCATATCCTATTATGGGATTATAGAAAATTAGAAAATTCAGTGATAAAAGGGTAAGTACTTCATGTATTCCTGATTATAATGTCCTGGCGGTATGCTTTGTGTAATCGTGCATGGTGACGCTCTCCAACTGTATCCTAGTGCATCCAACTGTATCCTAGTGTATCCTCTGTATCCCAGTGTATCCACTATATCCTAGTGTATCCAGTGTATCCTAGTATATCCACTGTATCCTAGTGTATCCAGTGTATCCAGTGTATCCAGTGTATCCTAGTGTATCCTAGTGTATCCTAGTGTATCCTAGTGTATCCAGTGTATCCTACTGTATCCACTGTATCCTAGTGTATCCTAGTGTATCCAGTGTATCCTCTGTATCCTAGTGTATCCACTAGGATGCAGTGGATACACTAGGATACAGTGGATACAGTGGATACACTAGGATACACTGGATACACTAGGTAAAGGTAAAGGACAACCCACACAGAAAGTTTCATACTTCAGTTTATTGTTCATTTTTACACAATGTACACACATATAGATCCTTACTGACCAAATGATGCTTGGTTCCAGTACAAAATGGGACGTGAGGTGCAAATTACAATTTCCAATTAAATTTACAATTTGATCAAATCAAACAAGAAATTGCAAAGTATTTTTGAAATTTTTTAGACATGCTAGCTCAAACAAAACATGTAAACCAGAATTTATATTAAAATACTATATTAATAACTAATAATAACAATACTGATAGCTTTCTTGAAAAAATGGAAACAATATTTAGTAAAAGAAGACAGAAAACTCAAACTAATCCATAAGGAATTGCCTATTGAGAGTTAACAAAACCCATTTTAGAAGCTTGTTGTGGTGGAACAATAGACACTGGAACCTCGGAATGGTGTAGACAGAAATCACTAACGCTTCCGACTAAAGTACGGCGCACAGTGCCCATGCCTCTACTTCCCATTATGATTTGATCAGCCTTCTGGTCCTTGGCAATGTTGCAAATAATTTCTCCAGGATCCCCTCCCTCTTTAAACAACCTGCACTTAAACTAAAAAAACATGACAGGTTTTAATTGATAAGATAAACTTTTTATTGCCGTGATAGTTAGGAGGTTATTTACAAATGGATAAATTATATACTCATAAAGAATATTCTCCATTTCCTTTATTAGGGACCATTCATTATTTATCAGAATGGGAGTGGGGGGTAAAAGTGAAAAACTAATCAAAAAATCTTTTCTCCAGCCCCCAAAACGAAACAAACAAAAAAAAAGGCAATTGGATCAAGATTTGAGCAAAACATAGGCTGGGACTATGTGGGATTTGGACCCTTATGGTAACATTCATAATCCTTTTTCATAATTTCATAGTTCATTTTGTTGGGCTTATAATAAACACTATTATTTATGGTGATGTACGTGACTCTCAATGGAGTTTTCAACAAGAAAAAGAATTTGTATAAAATTATGCTCTTTTATAGTATATATAACATAATGATGTGAAAAAATTAATGGTTTCTTACCTTCTTCTCAGAACATTTATTCTCATAATACTCCATCACCTTTTTGGCATCATCCAAAGTCCTTTTCATGTGTTTTTCCCAGTCTTCTGGGAAAGCAAAGCCATCTAAGAAAAGAAAGATAATTAGATTCTTTATCATGATATCAGCTGAATAGGCCATTTTGGCGTAATGATTTCCCATTTCTGAACATTATTCTCTCGAGACAAATATACAATTCTATGTTTCCCTATTTATGTGCAGTCTTCTCATTCGAAACTGTTAAACAATGAAATGATACTCTAGGGAATGACACATGATCTGTAATATTTAAAACATTACACCCAAGGCAAAAAAGTTATAATTGTAATGATGACTGTACATTTTAATGTCAACAAATATCAACAAGAAATTTCTGTTGTCCATTATTGAAAACAGTTTCACACCTCATGGAATCACTTATTTAATCATTATTTATTGCCCTGGAGTGTGTGCATTGTGGGATAGGATAGGTGTTGTAAAAATACTCTTTTGTACAAGATCAAAAAATATAATTATTCTAACAAATTCTAACATGGTATTTTTAACTTTTACTTTTCCACATGGGGGTGGGGGTGGGGGTGGGGCAGGGTGGTTCTAAACTCGAATCCAGAACAAAAATAACATGACACCCACAACTTTTATTCAGTGTGTAAACAAAATGAACAAAAAATAAAATAAGCAAGGTTTTGCACAAAATACTTACAAGGATAAGGAGTTGGAGGAGCAGAATATGGATCATACGCGTGCACTAACAGCACCTCGTCATTTGGTTTGTGGAGTGACTCATTATACCCTGCGAGTTTGAAAAACTTGGATTTAAAATACTACAACAAATCAACTTATTAAATTCCGCAGTAAATACAACGCTATTTAAGTAGAACTATTTTAAGTCCCTGGAAAATTTCCTTGTTTCTTCATCACTGAATTTCAACTTTCTCTTTACTTGCGTGACCCGAGATAAAGACTTCTGCAACGTGTGAAGGGTGCCGAAACCAAATGTTTAAACAATTTCCAATCCAATTCTCAAGGAAAATGAATATATTCAAGAATAATAAGTACATTTTATGTACTTTTTCAGCTTTTCTGAGCATTTAATGCCCTCCATAACGCTAAAGATTTGAGTATCTGGATTCGCTGTTAATGGTGACTGAAAATTAGAAATATGCCTGACCAAAAATTTTCATTATAAAGCTAATGTCTACATGACGTCCTGGTACTTACAATCAAATGCTCGCTCGCTGTTTTTACTCCCGTCTACGGGGATAACGACTTTTCTTCCTTGTTTAGCTTCAGCCATTTTTTCTGTTTGATTTGGTTTCGATTTTGTGGCGAAAAGTCCTAATCGCGATAATATAGTTTAGACCTAGGCAAGATAGAACGCACGATCGAACAGTCACTAGGGCCGAGTGCATCCGAGTAACATAAAAAATCATGCCTAAAATCATGTCACCACAGGATACCCAAATACGTGGATAACTTTGTGCAGTGTTGCATGCTATTAGTTTGGAATGTTTATAATAGACCTCCTCGGGTCCGACGTAATGTTTTCCCATTTCTTGATTTCTTTTACAAGTAAATGTAAGCAAAATAACATTGGGATTTGGAGTCACCTATACGAGGTGAATTTATTTCTATTTTTTATTAGAGCACCAGCTATATATCTGTTCTGGGGGAGGTGGGACTCCCATATATATAAGGGTGGGGATGTCTGAAATTTTGACAATGAATCTAAATAACCCGAGTTTCAGGCCTAAGGTGGCCCCGAGTCCTGTCCTGTTTGTTGTGCTAACTAAATGACAGAAGACAGATAATGAAATGCAAAAAAAATATCCTGAATTACAACTGTCTTTCTGACAGTCATAATTTAATCTCAGGCATCTTATTGCTTCAAAAACACCCAGAGGTAGTGGCTTATTACTCTTTGTTAGTCCTTTTAGATTTGCAACACTCTAAGAGGTACAGCAAGCATCCCACACATCTATTTCTTTTGTTTTCAAAGTTTCATTGGTGCTATTTTGTAATAATTAGTTATTTAGTACTATTTCACAGATACATGTATGGTTTAATTGCACTTCAACTCAACTGGAATTTTTACTGATATCAATCCTCCCTCCACCTCCCCTCACTGATTCACACACACACACACACATGTACTACAAATCAAACTTCTATTGTACATCCTTGGGTTGGTGTGGTGCAGATAGAAAAAAAAATTGATGATTGCTGTGTAGTAAAAGAGGGAATTAAAACAAAAACACAAAGATGAAACCAGTGTACAGTTTAATTAATGACTCTTTTGAGTAAAAACACCTCATTTAACTAAATTTCAGAAACAGAACAAAATTCTCACAATATGTAATTCACATAAGCCGAAGGCCCCATCTACATGTTCCCAAATATTCTTTTAAATGATTTTTTTCTTTGCAGTTCAGTCTTCTGTCCACATGTATCCGATGAATACCTACACCACTTAAAAATACAACTTTTTGAATATGGATAGAGTGGAGGGGCAAAAAAGATTTGAAAATTTGTGCAGAAGGACACTTGCATGCATTACGGCATCATTTACTACCACAACCAAAATCCCTTGAACACTTCCTTCTGTTCGCTTACTTAGCAGCAATTGCCTTACCATTGTCATGAGGGAATACAAATTTGATTAAGAAAGGAAATTCACCATGCATCTTGGTAGTGGTAGTAAAATGACGCCATTATGCAAACGGCCAAAATGTAAATATCAGGTCAGGTGTGGACAGGCCTGAGTGTGATTTTTATTTTGATGACGTCAAGAAAAGTCAGTGGCACGCGTTATTTAATAAAATTAAAAACTCGAAAACTATGTGGTCAAATATCTTTAAATTTCTACAGTTTTTCTTCATAGAATGATAAGGCAACTGATGCAATATGAAAAATATTTGGACTACAGCAAACTTTTTATCATGGAAAATGAATATTTCTTTAATATCTTGGTTTCTGTAGTCACAATTTTAATATGACACTGCCATATAATAGGTAACAAAACAAACTTTCATATTATGCAGTCTAAAAAAGATTGACCACCGGAAACTCGAGATTTTAATTGTTCAATGGCAAAAAGGGCCCGTTTTGTGGCGGACGTGTCGTTGCTATGGTAACTAGTCACGTGATCATTTTCACAAAAAATGATTCCTAAACTCATAGACTTTAATATGGTGAGTGTATCAGATATCAAGATATAGATCTGTATTTGCTATAAAATAATTTCTAATTCTATTACTCTAAAGCCCGGAACTACATGAAGCCTCCTTAAATCTCATACAAAATATGGTTCTTGCTTTGATAATCTACTTACCACAAAAAATTAAAAGAAAAAAATGACAACACTTTTAGGATACAAAAAAATCTACATATAATCCTTAAAAACAACAAATATTCTATTGTTTTTAACTTTCCGGACTTTCACATAAAATATGATTTACCAAAAAGAAAAAAAAACGGACCAAACTGTGTTATTTTATACCACAGTAAAGAATCCAAACTCATACCATAATAATGGATGAATAAGGCCAAATTAAAAATCAATCTGTCTTTACCGGTGGAATGACAGTCACTGGAACATTACTGTGATGCACACAGTAATCACTAACACTACCCATTAATGTACGTCTGACTTTGCCACAGCCTCGAGAACCCATAAGAATTTGATTGGCTTCTTGATCTTCTGCTAATTGGCAGATGGATTCACCTGCTTTACCACTTCCTTTATATAGCTTACATTTCAGCTGAAAAATATGAACTATAAGTTAGGGACTATAAGTTTAGAATAATTTCAGGTCACGCGTCATTTCCTAGTGTATCATTTCTTTGTTTGACGATTGCGCATGAGAAGACAGGCATGACAGGCCTTAAACAAAGAATCTTATTCAAAAGAAATAACGTATGGTCTGAAATGGGAAAACATTACGCCAGAGCTAAAAAGGTCTATCTACGTGGAATATCATACAGAAATTAATGACCCTTCTTCTCTCAATGAAACAAATATTATAACCCCACCCAATTTTTCTTTCAGTCATCTTCAGTGGACAAACTTTTGATTGAATGGGAAAAAACAATGATCTTTCTTTCAAGCTGTGTAAAAATATTCTAGCCTCAGAATAGCCTTTAGAATACCTATTGGGAAAACCATAGGACCTAGAGAGTAAGCGTTAACAGAGCAAAGGGGGATGGGCCAAAGGAATCCAGAGGAGGGCCATTAAATTTCTACTCAGTCAAAAAGGGGGTCATCAAATATTTCATACTACACCTTTTGCTGTTCATTAACCGCAAAGGAATATTCATTCAAGCGAAAAAGCATTATCATTAGCGCGAAGAGGCACACAATAACGCGAACGGAGTTTCAAGAGCGCGATGGAACTTTCATTAAGGAATTTAGCATAACATTGGACAATCATGAATATGTTTGTGCAGGTTCATTAGTGTTTTCGAAGTTTCATTAGCGCCTTTGTGCAATCAATAGACAAAACCACACATTCAATAACGGTTTTTGGACATTCATTAGCGCAATACATTATTACTTTACTTTTTACACGGGAATTGTAGGATTTTAGCTTACTTTACATTTTTTACAACCCATGAATATATAGAAAACATGACGTTAGGTATAAATATCAACTCACTACCTAAAATCCTACAATTCCCGTGTAAAAAGTAAAGTAATAATGTATTGCGCTAATGAATAATGYTYTTCRCTTSAATGAATATTYCTTTGCKGTTAATGAACAGCAAAAGGTGTACTTAAAGAGAAGGGACAAGAATTGGACAAATTTCAAGTGGAGGGTCATTTTTTTATGCAGAAATTCTTACCCCTTGTTGTTGACACTTTTTACCATAATAATCAATAATCTTTGCTGCATCAGCAATGGTTTGATCTACAGCTTTGTTCCATTCATCTGGTAAAACTGTCCCTCCATCTGTGGATTAAACACTTAATCTCACAAATCTATGAAACAAGAGTGTTAATTAAGTGAGGACATCCTTATATCCAATAAACTAAAGATAATGACTATTAATAAGACATTTATCAAAGATACTCTTTTAAAATGCTCAGTCCTAATTGATGCGCAGTAAAATATTTGGATATCTCTTAAGTAAATATAAAGAACCTTCATTTTTTACTGTTTATGCTTGAAAATTTTATTATTTCTGTTAAGCATGCACAGTTGTAAGAAATAATGGCTCTGGGTACGACATTGGTATATATATATAATATATATATATACACACAATAACAATAACAAATTTCTCACATGCTGATTGGTTATTTCTTGTCATCAATAAGAGGACAGACAGATAAAGCTGAGGTCAACAAGCGTGCACTCTTTTCGTTGGTTGTTTTGATTGCTAAAAATGAGAAGTTTTTTTCGTTTTTGTTATCGTAAAAAACAAATAGACATCAGTTTTTTATGTGTCTGTCCTCTTAGTGATCATAAATTTTGTCATCACATTGTCAAAGTAGTATGCGGATCTACTGTACTTTGACAATGTGATGACACAATTTATCAGACACATAAAAAACTTATGTCTATTTCATGTTGAATATATGGACCTATGGACCTTACTTACAAGGGTATGGAGAAGAGGGGACTGTCGGAGGTTCTTGTACATGAAGAACAAGAAGTTCATCATCTTTCTCATGAATATGATTTCTATACCCTGAAATGAAAACATCACATTATTGGGAGTAAACTGCTAGCTTAGATATCATAATAAGACAGGAATACAGATAAATTACGAAAAAGAAAGGATTTCTTGACTATTCAATAAACCAATTAATCTTTATATCACAAGGATAAATAATGCTGATTCTCATAATATGCCTACAGTGCAACTACTACGACAGGGGCCTCTTACACCATCTAGAAAAGAAAGTAACCAATTAAAATGTAGAATGAAAGCAATGCATTCCACTAACTTTGGGTAGTGGGGCCAATCAGAAACCTAGAGTGTACACTGTACAAGAATTGGTAATTTGACCCTGATGTTACATGTAAACAACTAGATAGCCATTGTCATTTTCGTGTGGGAATAAAAAGATATGTTGAAAGGCTATTGCTCTCTGCTGCTTTCTGATTGGCTCCACTACCCAAAGTTGGAATGTATTGTTTTTATTTTACAATTTGAATGGTTCTTACTGTCTGTGTCCCCAGATATAGTAGTCTCGCTGTGATAAGTTTTACTGCATTTTCAATAGAGCACAAATAGACCCCTTGCAATCTGTCAGAATGCAGCTCAATTTGGAGGACATAACGATAGGTTTTCAATCTTCAGGAGATTGAATTCTTTTGTTTTGTCCCCCAAATTGAGCTGCTTTGACATCATATACAATGGGTCTATAAAGTATAAAATGTAATAGATAACTTGTGCTAAGGGAAATGGTGACCAAGTAATTAAACAACAATTAACTATTATATATCCTCATTACCTACGTACAGTAGCTACCCTCTCCATGCATTTCACAATCATAAATATCATTACTACAGACACTGAATTATTAGCAGCATTACATAAGCTTATTACAGTCGCTGGAGGGAGATGGAATGACAACAACACTTCTTGAGGCATTAGGATACCAAAAATGATGATTTGCTCGAAAAAAATTTTTTTTTGAAATTTAACAACTTCAAACTTTTGTCTTTCATATGCTAGTGAAACATCTTGCAATTTTTGATTGAAAAAGCCATAATTTTGAGACAAATCGAAATCGTGACTTTATCAAGAATGGAAATGTACCGTCATTTGCAATAACGTTGAGTCCAAATGCTCCTTTATCCTTGAAAAAAGATCCTACATTGCGATCATTCAGAACACCAGATAATTTGACAAGTGATAACAAAATGGAAGGCTCAAGATGTTTTGACCAACACCATCGTAGCTCCCTGCAGCTTCCGGCTCCAAACAAAGAAATGCATTTTCCTCAAATTTTTTTTGCCGCTAAAACCTCAACTTTAAAAAGCTAAAAGTCCCTTGGATTTCATTCGATTTTTCTAAAATTTGGAGAGTTTAAGAAGTAATTCATGATCCAAAAAAGTGTGTCTCCGATTTTTGAAATTTAATTTCTTTCCAAAGTTATGACGCTTTTTACTTTAAACAACACTCCAAAAGCAATAGCCAAAAACAGTGAGAGATATAAAACAGATATCAAAAATCTGGGACACCCTTTTTGAGCTTATTATCTCCTGAGTATGTTAAGACATTTCTCGCACACATAGCTTAAAATGTACGTATCTGTTCACTGAGGCATGGTCAAATTTTGCTTTGAGGACAGTAATGTGAACAACAATTTTAAAAATGGTATTTTGAAGATTACTTCATAAACTATGTTTACTCAGCTTTTAGAAAATGTATTCTTTGTTTGTGTTATTTTATAAAGCCAGCGTGTTATTTATGTTTGAGCGTATAGTGGTCATAAATGTATTCTAATACCTTAAATCACAATGAAATTTAGTTTATGAGCTGGTGAAGGCAAGAACAGCTAAATATTACGCTAATTATCTCGAAAGAAGAGAAGTAAGGCTTAAATTTACCCTAAATTCCTATCATTTTAGCCGATGTAAACAAACCGTGACGTCATTATGAAATAGGGCAATTAATAAATTTATATGTAACTACTAGAGTACAAACACTAAAAGTGTGCAACACTTTGCACTATTTAGTAGTAAATAGTGCTAATTAAACAATAAAAAACAATAGGATTAGCATAATTTAGCAGTATTTAGTGGTATTATGTTGCACACTTATAGTGTTTGTACTCTAAATAACTGGAATTACTCGTAACATCGAGGCTTGTTTATACTCAATGATATGATTTTTCTTTTTTGTGTGTGTTTTGTTTCGTGAAAAATATAGCTAAGCTGAAAACATAAATGTTTTAAAAAGTTTGAATGAGAAATTAACTTCTTGCAATGAATTTCAAAGAGAATATAGAAGCTCAGGCGAGCTAACTATAACGAGCTGAGCTCTGCAAGATGGGCAACACGGTTTGAACAAAACAACGCTGGCTGTTAACACCTATTCTCCAACATTATCTCCTTCGCAATAGGAGCTCAACAAGATTATATTTGCACGTTTACACTTGGTATATTCAAAACTAATATTCGTGCAGTGAAACACGAAGAACATGGGGTCTACCTTTCCTGACTAACTTACATTCAAAGGCCTTTTCGCTGTGTTCACTTCCATCCACTGGGATAACAACTTTTTTTTTTGAAGACATTTTCAGTTCTGATTTGCCCTTTTAAAAACTTCTAAGGCACAGATTCGTTATCTCACAGCCTTATAAAAGCTCTCTTAATAATAATAGTATATCCAATAACACTGTCTATATATACGTCACGATGTAATACGATGGCATTCTTAACCTGGCCTGCTACCCACAATGCAACAACCCTTATCGCAAATCTCTGTGACAGTTCTGCAAAATTCCGCTGTTTTTTAAGTTTAAGAATTTATCCCTTTTTATTTAGATATTCAATGAACTAATAAAAAATAGCTGATAAACTGAATTTCAAAAATGTCAACATATCTTTAAGTTGGAAAATCATGAGGTAGATATTCATTCCTTGAAAGCAAATAGAAGCTGCTGGAATGCGCCTTTTCGGGATTGGGAAAATGGGACTTTATGCACTGCCTGGGAATGGGATTCACGAATAAAAAACATGAATTAAAAAATGGCAATGGGATTAAGATTTGAACAAAGCATAGCCTGGGATTCTGGGATTTGGTCAAATGGGGGCTGGGAAATGGATCAGTAGGACTCCCCTTCAGGACCCTTTTCTTCTCTCATCCCTCCCCCCTCGCCATCTTGTTTTGGTAGACGTTTATGTTATTCAACCCTAAACCTTGGTATCTGGCACTATGTTTTTTTCCAAAAATGGCTTGCCATTTCAAGAGCAAAATTTCAGCTTTCGAAAGGGAAGATCTTTAAATATACTTCTTTTACTTACTTTTTTATCTGTCTATACCATCTGTTTTTCCTTCCGTCGCCATTAGTGACTTATATTTACTCACATTTCATTTACAGTTTTAATTGAATTCGACCACCTATATGACAGCACAGTTGGAGTTTGCATTATTGAAAATTAACTGAAGTAGAAAAGAATTCTTTTGATTAAAGCATTTTCTGGTTTGACCTCTTGAATGCCATGTTCTCGCATTTCACACCATTAATATATTCTCTTCGGAATAGGCCGGTTTTTTGTTTGCGTGGTGTTCATATTCATGTGTCTTCTCATGTGCAACCGTTAAATGAATAAATGATACTCTAGTTATTTACTCATGACCTGAAATAGTCAAAACGTTACGCCCAAACTAAAGAAGTCTATTTTTAAACCACTTCATCTTGCCGAAGAGATCATAGTTAACTAACTAGTTAAGCCGCACGGAACTAGCGCTTGATAAAATTCATTCTACGTTTCTTAAATTCTCAATACTACAGGGCATGCATAAGGGGTTTCCATGGTCATTGTAAAACCATGACTTCTTAGTTTGTTTCTGGATTTTAAGTTGGATTCATTAATATTAAACATTTCAATTTTCTTTCTTATTACAAATACCTACATCTGCTTACGTTATTCATAACAAATATTCGAACAAACTCCTCAACTCAAAAGATCTTTCAGTTCATGCGTAAACCCCGAATTACTGATTTTTACATTCAGTATTTAAGGACAAGCTGATTCAGTCGCAAAACTGATTACTTATACATATTTTGTCTTGCTTATGAAGTTAGTTTAAACAAAACCACATCGATATTAATGAAATTCACTTGCTTCGTATTACTTTTTTGGAAACGATCACCAAGAGAACTACAAACTGGATTGTATTGTAACGTAAGCACGAGACCAATAATGCTCTCCGTACTAAATTACTCAGCTCCGGTTGATAAAGAAATTTAATTTTCAATGATTTCACGCTGTTCCCGTACAGTGTCAAACGTTGAAAAATAAATTTATTCGCAATCATAAAAAGATGCATGACGTCTTGAAAAATACTTCGTATCGGATAAGTATCGATTAACTGAGTCAAGCTCTAACAATGGTCATTTCTTAGTAATGTGTTCAAATGTATTCCCTTCACCAAGGAAAAAGATTTAAATAATTTATCAATTTAACCATATATTTGTTCTGTAACCAAGTGTCTAGGAGTTAGAAAACTTAAACGACTTGGACGACTTGGACCAACATGTCAGATTCAGCTCAACGAACCTTTTCAATCTTGTACTTTCTG